CGCTGATGCTGATGCGGGCTCCAGGCTAGTGTCGGTGGAAGCTCAGGGCCTGGCGTCAGGTCGGGCTAACGCAGGACCTCCGGCGCCGAGAAATCCCCGGCCGAAGGATGGCTGCGGCGCAAGCCACGCACACACGCAAGGCCCTGATGAAGGATGAAGGTCAAAGGTTATACAAGATTGACAGGTCCTTAGCCCAGTGTACCAAAAGAAAGAATCAGCACCTCCAAATCAACAAAATCAGAGAAGAAACGGGAAACACCACAAGAGACACCAGGGGGTCCACAACATGACAAGGGAATACTTTAAAATCCTATACACTACTAAAACCTCAAGGAAATGGAAAGGCATCTAAAAGCAGGGGAATCACCAAAACTAAACCAAGAAGAGATTAACAGATTAAACGAACCCGGAACACATGAGGAACAGGAGGAAACTGAAACTCTAATACAGACCCTCCACCACAAGAGACACCAGGGGGTCCACAACATGACAAGGGAATACTTTAAAATCCTATACACTACTAAAACCTCAAGGAAATGGAAAGGCATCTAAAAGCAGGGGAATCACCAAAACTAAACCAAGAAGAGATTAACAGATTAAACGAACCCGGAACACATGAGGAACAGGAGGAAACTGAAACTCTAATACAGACCCTCCTATCTTGAAAAAAAAAAAAGCCCAGGACAAGATGGATTTAGAGCAGAATTCTATACAAAATACTGTTTAATTAATTCAAAAAGGCAGAACCTGATGGAAAACTTCCAAATTAATTCTACGAAGCCAGCATCACACTAATATCAAAACGAGGTACAGACACAGTGAGGAAAAATAATTCTAGATCCATATTTTTATTCGACATTGATGCAAAAATTCTCATCAAAATTCTCGCAAGCCACATAAAACCACATATCAGAAAGATCATCCACCATGACAAAATTGGATTCATTCAAGAGAGGCAGGGACGGTTCGATAAACGCAAGTCAACAAACATCATAAATCATATAAATGCACCCAGACAAGAACCACACGGTCATCTCAATAGCAAGTAGAGTGGGACTCTGACAAAATTCAACATGCATTTATGTGCAAAGTCCTACAGGGAATTGTATCAGAGGTAACATACCTCAACGTAATGACAGCCATATACAGTAAACCCACAGCCAAAATCATTCTAAACAGAGAAAAACTGGTAGCAATTCGCACTGAAATCAGGAACCAAACAAGGCCCTCTGCTATCTCCACTCCTTTTTACCATAGTGCTTGAAACTCGTGCAAGGCAGTAAGACAAGAGAAGGAAGTTAAAGGAGTAATCATTGGAAAACAAGACATCAAATTAGCTCCCTTCTGCAAATGATGTAATATTTCACACATGCCACAAATTCCACCGGGGACCTCTTACAAGCGATCGACAGTTTCAGTAAAGGGGAAGGTTACAAAATAACCTACAAAAGTCTACAGCCTTTCTATGTACCAGTAACAACCAATCTGAGAAAGAGTACATGGAAACACTTCCTGTCACAATAGCCTCAAATAATAAAATGAAATATCTCGGAATAAAACTGACCAAAGACATTAAAGACCTCTGCAATGACATTTTGGAATCTTTTTAAAAACGTCTCTTAGGAACACACCAGAAGGTGGAAAGACTTCCCCTGCTCATGGACTGGAAGAATGAATATTGTGAAAATGATCATCCTTCCGAAAGAAATTCTTAGATTCAATGCAATGCCTATCAAAATCCTCATGGAATTCTTCACAGAAGAGGAAAAAAACATCCTAAGATTCATACGGAAGCACAAAAGAGCTTGGATGGCCAAAGGAAACCTTGGCATTAAGAGCAATGCTGTGAGGTGCTGGACAACCATACCAGATTTTATACTATATTACAGAGCTACAGTGATAAAAACAATAGGGTACTGGCACAAAAATAGACCTAAAAAGCTTCTGTACGTCAACAGAAGCAACCAAGGAAGAAAGGAGAAAACCCACAGAGTGGCAGAAAATCTGCATTAGACCTACACCAGGTCACACACAGACAAAGTTATCAGATTAAGAGCAGATTTCCGACCAGAAAATTCAAAATTCAGAAGGGCAAGGAATAATATAAACAGTAGCATCTAACCTAGATTACGATATCCAGCGAAGAGACCCTTGTAATGAAAGAAAAAGGAAAGTTTTCTATAATAACCACAAACTGGAGAAATTCTTGTGGCAGCGTACAGAAAATATAGTAAAAGAGAGAGGGAAAGGGAGGGAGGGAAGGAGAGAGACAGAGAAGAGGGAGGGGGAATGGATGGAGAGAAAGAAATAGAAAAGAAAGAAAGAAAGGAAAGAAAGAAAAAGAAAGAAAGAAAGAAAGAAAGAAAGAAATTGCACACAGGAAAGAAGAAATTGCCCTAAAGCCGGAGAGAAGCAAATGAGGATTAGGGAAATAATAAACAACATTGACAGGAATTAATACACGCCTATCAATCATAACTCCGAATGGTAACGGCCTCAGTTCTCCAATCATGAAATACAGACTAGCACAGTGGGTCTGAAAGCAGGGCTCCCTCCCTCCCTCCCTCCATATCTCTCTCTCTCTCTCTCTCTCTCTCTCTCTCTCTCTCTCGTCTCCTTCCAGCCTCCTCCATCACATGGTCTCAATGATGCTCTTCCTCATCTTGCGTATAAAGTGACACAACCAATCAATGTTGTTCTGACATCTCTGCAACTGTGAACCAAAATAAGCCTTGCGCCTCTAAGTAATTTCTTCAGGTATTGTGACCCAGCAGCTGAAGATGACTACCACAGTCGCCCACATGAATGGACTAATGATGGGCCCCTAAAGAATTTGGGGAGTTGTAGGATGAAGGCATTCTAGAATTTCTATGAAGTGAGACATTGTAGTGTTTTATTTACTTATTTTATTAATTAATTAATTTATTTATTTAATGTGTATGAGTGTATTGTCTGGATGGTTGTAAGTGCACCCATACCATGCAAGGCCCTCTAAGATTAAAACAGGGCGTTAGATCCCCAGGAACTGGAATTATGGATGGTTGTTAGCTGTCATGTAGGTGCTGAGAATGAAACCCAGGTCCTCTGATAGAGCAGCCGGTGTTCTGAACCACTGAGCCACCTCTCTAGGCCTACCTATTGCAGTGTTCTGCCCACCAGTACTCAAGATACCCACATGTCAAGAAAATTTTGAAAAGCAGGGGTAGAACATGTAGAACGTGAAACCCTGGGCTCAATCTCCAGAACCTCAAACTATGTGCTTAGGACCAAGTTGTGTGGTTTGATTGCTGTTTTTAAGAGAGCTAGATATTATTCATATGTTCTTGCTTTAGTGAGGCCCCTCCAGTATGAAATGTGTGTATACATGAATATATGAAGCATGAAATACAATCCATAGTCCCACTAATGAGTGACAAATAATAAGAGATATCATAAAGCCAAGTGACAAAAGATATTTAAGATTTTTACCTTAAATGACAATGTACACAGTCCATAATGGCTTCTGCCTATTCAGCCCCGCCCCCCAAACTGCTGAATTATTGGTTCTGTTAATAAAAGATGAGTCCAAAGTAC